AGATGTACCATATGACCTAGCTGTCCCATTACTGGGTATATACTCAGTTGATTATAAATTATGTTGCTATAAAGACATGCACACATATGTTTATTGCAGCACTATTCACAATAGCAAAGACTTGGAATCAACCCAAATGTCCATCAGTGACAGATTGGATTAAGAAAATGTGGCACATATACACCATGGAATACTATGCAGCCATAAAAAGGATGAGTTTGTGTCCTTTGTAGGGACCCGGATGCAGCTGGAAACCATCATTCTTAGCAAACTATCACAAGAACAGAAAACCAAACACTGCATGTTCTCACTCATAGGTGGGAACTGAACAATGAGATCACTTGGACTCGGGAAGGGGAACATCACACACTGGGGCCTATCATGGGGAGGGGGGAGGGTGGAGGGATTGCATTGGGAGTTATACCTGATGTAAATGACGAGTTGATGGGTGCTGCACACCAACATGGCACAAGTATACATATGTAACAAACCTGCACGTTATGGACATGTACCCTACAACTTAAAGTATAATAATAATAATAAAAAAAAGACTGCAAATGAACGCAAAAATGATATAGAAAAATGAGACAACAGAGTCCTCAAGAAACTGCAGGCAGAAACCAAACCAAACCAAAACCCAGAAAGTATAGAGAGTAAAATGATTGCTCGGAAACTTCAGGCTGGTAGAGTCAGAGAAGAGGTGTCATCATATTGTCTAAGAATCAGGCTACTGCCATTGAGGACCACTGAAAATAAGCTTTTTGAGAGCTTATTATTATTATTATTTCTCTTTTTTTGAGACTGTCATAGAACAGCATTTGAGAGCTTTTTCTAAGAATGCTAGAGTTCCTATAGCTGCTTTGGAGACTTCCAGTTCTTGTAGTGCTTCATTCTTTGTGAGGCCAGTCGAGCCTGGATTTTTCTGAGATTCAGGAACCTGCTGCTCATTTCTGCAGTCTGCTCATATGCACGTATTCACCCACTCTACCTAAGCAACAATTTTTTATCTTTCTCTTTCCACTTTACTTCTATTAGGCAAAGGCCTATACCAAACCAGAACCCTCCTGAAAGGCAGTCTGAGAAATGTAGTCTCCAGGCTGCCAGCCCCTGAAAATCAAGAGGTAGCGTAGAAGGGAGAGAATGGTGCTGAGGTGTCAACAGATAATCCAGTGTGGTCTCCAAAGAGCAACAGGAAGCTATTTGTACATTTCAAGGATACAGCGAATTTGATATGACTCATTCTTTTAAAAGAGAATTGATTAAAATACAGAGAATGAATTTTAGGAAGACAAGAATATCTGGGGCAATCTGTTTAGAGGCTATTTCATAGTCTAATGTGGGCCATGATGGTGACAGTGAAGAGGAAGAAAAGTAGACAAATATAAGAAACATTTAGGCGGTAAAATGGAGAGGACTGGATGTGTATGAGAGGGAGGTGTCAGGGATGACCCCATGTTTCTGACTTACCCAACTGGATTGATAGCATTGCCATTCACTGAGGTAGGGGATGCTGAAGGAGGACTCGCCAGAAGAGTTCAGAGCTTCCTTGGGTATTCTCTCTCCTCCTGGAGGTCTTAAATCTTTGAAAGTAAACCCTTCATTATATATTTCACAGTACCCAGCACCAGGTCTTTCACATCATGGGTCTTCAGTAAGTAATTGCTGAATTAGAGAGTCATTATTGCATATCCAACAAGCAACTAGTGATGAGAAATGAATCCTTTATGACAAGAAAACACCACCAAACTCCTGTCCCAGCTGGGCTGGTCAAAGGCAGCAGCACTGAAAAGTTACCAACACAGCCAAAAAAAGTAGAAAAAGAAAGAAGAAGACAACAAATCTCTGTGAGCAGATATATGTAGGCAATGATTATTCATCTGGACACTAATTCTGCCAGAAGGGTGGGGTGATCTTAAGTAATCATAGATGCAAAAAGGAACTAAGCAAAAGAAAAATGGTTTAGTCACCAAAGGAGAAGATCAGAGGCCTTATTATGTGACAGAAGTTATAACAATCAAAATTATGAAAGGCTTTTGTTTTATGTTATGTCTAAGAAAGCACAGTCAGTAACTTAAAAAAAAAGGAAAATAGAAAAAAGAGAAGACACATTAATATGGATATCATTATGCAGGATATAAATTTTTAAAGAACAGCACTAAACTATTTGAAGTGAAAGGAAGACTGAGGGGAAAGGCTGGAAATACGAAGAGAATAAGGCACATAAGTGAGTAGAATCAAAGACAAGATGAATTAATGTAAAGTGTAAACTCACTGGATGAGAAGTAAAGGCCAAGATAAATTATAGGAGGTGAAAGAAGCAGCAGGAGCACAGGGAGGGAAGGCGAGAAACAAACACACTAAAATCAGATGAAAAAGCCAAGTGGAGCAATAGGGGCAGGTGAAAAAGATTAAAATTTTTTAAATCCTTTTTTAAAAAAAAAGCCAACCCCCCCCACCCCCCCACAGAATTGTTAGAAAAGAGGCAAGGAACCGACATCAGGCAAAGATGCATGCAGAGTCATTATGAAAACTAAATGTGTTTTCTGTTTAGTTTGGTTGCTTTGTGAATCTGGAACCATTTTGACATGTGGAAATATTCATTTTGATGTGCTTTAAGTGTATTGATTATGGTAATTGTTTTTTCTGTGTTAGTTGCAGTCCATTGCGATTTCCTATGGGCTACTGTAATTGTTTTTTAACCTGCTCTGTTGGCTAATTTGGCTTGGGGGTGTCCAGGTGACCTCTGCATGTCAGCCTAACTACAATTACAAGACAGGTGTAGCAAAGTCCACTCAAAGAAGAGAAAGTTACAAAGGTGGGGTGTCTGCATGTACATCCCAGAAAGGAGTATCATGTAGGACTATGAGTGCTTACAAAAACATAAAAAGGAATATTTTTGTTTTTGCCACTCATTGATCCAGTGGCTTTCTACACCAGGCTGTGTGGAAGACAGCAGTGGTTATGGCCCTAACAGTTATTCTGTAGAATTTCCCACATTCACTTTTTTTTTTTTTTTTTTTTTACTTTTTATTTATTTATTTTTTGAGACAGCATTTCACTCTTGTTGCCCAGGCTGGAGTGCAATGGTGCAATCTCGGCTCATTGCAACCTCCGCCTCCCAGATTCAAGCGATTCTCCTGCCTCAGCCTCCCGAGTAGCTGGGATTACAGGCATGCACCACTACCCCCAGCTAATTACGTATTTTTAATAGAGACAGGGTTTCACCGTTGGTCAGGCTGGCCTCGAACTCCTGACCTCAGGTGACTCTCCCACCTCGGCCTCCCAAAGTGCTGGGATTATAAGCATGGGCCACCGTACCCAGTAAACATTCACTTATTGGCCTTAGAAGAAGAGAAACGCCTTCTGGGTCTGCTGTCATGGTCCTTACATTTTGCTTTTCCATTGATTGTTCTGTTCTTGTTTTCCTTAAATTAAAAGAGCTCTCAGAATTCCTGTAACATGCGATTTATATTTTGGGATTACCTGATCAGATATGTGAACTGTCAGTTTCAAGTAAGGTTTCTACGCATATCAGGATCACTGCCCAGGTCTGTGACTATCTCTGGGATTATGCGTTCTTATTTGTGGTATGTCAGCTCTGAAAAAGGAAAATGATCCGGTGTGAAAAAAGTCAGTGTACCCCTCATCAGGGTTCTTTATAGTATCTTTATGTTACCATTTTGTCCTTCATCATGTCAGATATTAATGAATGTATATATATAGAGAGAGATATATATCAATAGCAACCATTTATAGAACTAATTACTATCAAGTAGTATACTTGTAATCCATGAAAGAGCCATATGAGGTAAGCTCCATCATGACCGTCACTTTATAGAGGAAACGAAGGCTTAGAAAGGGTAAGAAACTTGCCTATGATGTCTCGCTACTTTTTTCACAGGAGCAATATTGTTTCTTTGATTAAAAAAACCTCAGAGCACTGTATTACTTGTATTATCAAGTATAAACTCCCAGCCAAGCATTACATATATAAAATCGCCTGTTTTTTATCCCTCCATAAGGCTTCAGTATAAAATTTTCCTCATCAAGACTTCTCTATAATGGTTCATTCTTCCCTTATTTGATGTAATAAAGTTTGTAGTGTCATGATCTGACACTGCAAACTTTACATATGGGATTAAAGTCATGATAAAGTCATTCCCTATATTCTGATATTTTTGGTTTCACATCTTCATTTCTTAATAAAATGAAATATTACAGATAAAATTCAAGTCTCCTTTGTTCTTCGATCTATTTCCTTCCCACCTTCTCTAGAAGCAGCTACAATTATAAATTTGGGGAGGAGCTTCCAGTATGTTTTTATGCTTTATTACTACAGATATATTTCCATATGCGCTTATAAAATTTACATAAATGTCAATGTACTTCATGTTTTCTCCAACTTGCTTTTTGATAGCCATCTATACTGTACTTGTAGATTTTAAGTTCTCTGCAACATATTAATTGTCCTGTGATTGCAATGTACTTGAAAATGAAGCTTACTGCAAAAGAATATTGAATTACTCCCTATGTGACAGGGAGGAAAAACTCTTGCCTGAAGAACTTTCTGCCGCCTTTGATTTGAAGAGTGGGGTGGGGTGTCTTTCAAGTGTGAGCTGCAGTTCTGAGGTAAAAAGCATCTGGTCAGGCCTGGGATAATACGTGCTGACTGGGTGAGGGAATGAGGAGTAGTTTTAAAACACAATTGTGCCTAGAGCATATGCTATTTAAAATCCCATTCCTCCCTCCCAGCAAGATCCTGTTATTCTGGTGTTGATGGCTGTATTCCTCTGCTATGGAAAAAACACAACTAGAGTAGAGAAACATCTCTTTGGCTGATCCATAGATAAAGACTTAGGTCTAAACATTCCCTCTATAGTTGGTGAACATTTGTTGAACACCAACAGTGAAATATTCACAGGAAATGCAGCTGCTTGCAATATCATTTCTGTCTCTAAGAAAGAGCCTTGCTGTGTTTTTCTGTCTGTCTTTTATTAAAGGTCCACACACGTTCCTGTTGGGGAGGATCAAGTCCAGCACATGGAACTAGTTCAGGACCTAGCAGAAGGTTTCAACAAGAAGTATGGGGAGTTCTTTCCAGTGCCCAAGTCCATTCTAAGTAAGTAACAACGTTATAATTGTTACATCAGGGTATATTCTAAAGAGAGGATTGGACAATAGACACGCTTGGAACTTTCTTGGGACTAACCTCAGCTTTCTTGTAGACAGGATTCAGGATCTGTAACTAGAGTCCTCATTGTTTTCTCTAGTGTAGGACTAGAAAGTAGACCACATTGAATTACTGAAAAAGATGTTGGGTTATTGGAAAGGATAACTAAAAATATTTTAAAAGTATGGAAGAGACAAAAAATTTAAAATAGTAATATTTATAAAGTAGTACATAATTTACAAAGTATAAACGGATGCTTCTTGACTTATAATTGGGTTACATCCTGATAAAGCCATTGTAAGTTGAAAACACTGTTAATCAAAAATGCATTTAACCCACCTAACCTACTGAACATCACAGCTCAGCCTAGCCACCTTCAGCGTGCTCAAAACACTTACATTAGTCTATAATTGGGCAGAATCATCTAACACAAAGCCTATTTTACAACAAAGTATTGAATATCTCATGTAATTTATTGAATACTATACTGAAAGTGAAAAACAAAATGGTTGTGTGGGTATTTCAAGTACAGTTTCTACTGAATGGATATCACTTTTATACCACTGTAAAGCTGAAAAATCATAATTCAAACCATTGCAAGTTGGGAACTGTCTGTATATACATCTTGGTGATTTGTTTGTTTTGTTTTTGCTTTGGGTATGTGTGTGTTGGTGTTTTTAACCTAGCATCCATGAAGAAGGTAAAATCCCTCCGTGATCCTTCTGCCAAAATGTCGAAATCAGACCCTGACAAACTGGCCACCGTCCGAATAACAGACAGCCCAGAGGAGATAGTGCGGAAATTCCGCAAGGCTGTGACGGACTTCACCTCGGAGGTCACCTATGACCCGGCTGGCCGCGCTGGCGTGTCCAACATGGTGGCAGTGCACGCCGCGGTGACGGGGCTCTCTGTGGAGGAAGTGGTGCGCCGCAGCGCGGGCATGGACACTGCTCACTACAAGCTGGCCGTGGCAGATGCTGTGATTGAGAAGTTTGCCCCAATTAAGCGCGAAATTGAAAAACTGAAGCTGGACAAGGACCATTTAGAGAAAGTTTTACAAATTGGATCAGCAAAAGCCAAAGAATTAGCATACCCTGTGTGCCAGGAGGTGAAGAAATTGGTGGGTTTTCTATAGGAAGTTTCAACGAATCACAGCAAGGCTTTTGTGCCTTGCACTCCATGCATTCTGATAACGGCAGCTTTCCTCACAAGAAAAAGTTATAGTTTTGGGACATTTAATTTGGTATAGCTGATTATTGGCTTTATTTGATGAATATTGCTTTGTAGCTTTGAAATACGACAGTGTTCCAAACCCCATCAACAAAATGCTGTGAACAACAACAAAAATAAAGAAAGAAAGAAGGCATAGCTGTCTGAATCCCCAATTATTGAGGCACACTCCTTGGCCTACACAAATGTGATTGAGGTAAGGAGTAATTTGGGAAATGGAGTGTCATTTGTGCTTCCTTCTGGAGTGCTTAGTGTAACAGATGCACACTTTATCTACTTCAACCCTTTTATAAAGCAATATATAGAGGTCTTAGATGTTGAATCCTTGAGATGCCATTTGATCAGATGCTAATTTGTATTCAGATCTCATAAAAACAAGTCCATTCTTATAGTTTGTTTGTCACTGAGATGGTGTCTGATTTAATATATTTAAGTTGATTAACTTGTTTTCCAAGAGATGACACCAACTGTTCCAGCAATAATTTGTTTTTTAATTCAGAGATATGGGATATGATCTTCTAAGGAGGTTGCATTATTTTGACTTGATTTATTTATTGTACAAGAGCCCAAGTCCCTGAATTATATTCTTAATAAGTACTTTCTGGCATTCATTTCAGTTTAGTCTCACCAACCCCCTATGAATTAGGAGAATTATTGTCATTTTACACATGAGGAAAGTGAGGCTGAGAGAATCCAATTAGCTTGTACAATATCACTCCATAAGAGAAGCAAATCTGAGAGTAAAACCCTTACCCCTTATTCTTAAGAACAGTGCTTATTTCATCAGTACCAAAACAAAAATGCTGAAAGGTAGCATTTTTTAGACTCTAAACATTCTGATTTTGAAGGTGGGTATTGGAACGACTGATGATGTTTATATCATCAATTCACCCAATAGATGCAAACTTAAAATCTGGGTTCAGACAACCGTGGTCACATTTCCCCATCACAATCCCCAAGGCAGGTCCCAAGTTCTCTCCTCTATGCTTATTGCAGAAACACTTTGAAATAGGTTCTGCCAGTCTACAACAGCAGTGAAGACTGACAAATCAGATATTCCCAATGACTGACAGCTTCTCATCTTGCCTCTACCTCAGTTAAGTAATATCACCCTAAAACCTAGCTTTTCTGCCCTTCTATTTCTGACACCTGAAAATGAAAATGATAATCCTGACTTACCCACCAAGACCTGTTAGCAAGATCGATTTTGTAACAGAAATTGCTTGTAAGTTTTTTGTCAGTAAGGACCATGATCACCATTTGTACATACATAACTAGGTTGTTGAGCAAAGCATTTTTGCTCATGTTTCTTAAGGAAGTAGAGTGGTCCTCGTGTCAGAACACATGTAAATCCACAAAACACCACATCTCAGAATCCAAATTAAAAGATCCTTTTTAGGATTCTTGGAGCTAGCCTAGATCATGGGAAAAGGAAACATTTTGCCTTTTGTATCTTATATTGGAATGGGATGTCTATAAATCCTAGAACCTCTTTGAGCATATTTCTTACTAGCCTCTTTTTTTCCCCTTTAAAGGAAACTTTGAAAGGATTATGAATACTGGAAAATGACAAAACTAAAGGTAGATCTATCAAGCCAATTATCTGTTTATCTGTTTATGTGGTTTTTTACCCCCTTGCAATACCTTTCCTCCAAAAAACTAAGGCACTATGGAAAGAATCTCAGAGGAGAAAAACAAATAACTTGTGATAACTTCCAGGGACCAAAGTCTATGCATTGGTGAGGGTGGACTTGTTTGCAACCTGTTGTTGTTTTTTTTTTTCTTAAGTGACCGAACTGTTCAAGTCCAAACTTGGCCCGTAATTATTAAGAGACTCTTGCCTGGTTAATCAGTATTAATCAGGATTCTTCAGAGAAACAGAACCAATAGGATATATATCTGTATATTAGGGGATTTATTATGGGGATTAGCTCACCCAATTATGAAGGCTGAGAAGTTCCATGATAGGCTATGTGCAAGCTGGACCCATGAGAGATGATGTTGTGATACAGTCCAAGTCCTCAGGCTGGAGAACCAGGGGAACCAATGATGTAACTGTCAGTCCAAGGCTGAAGACTTGAGAACGTGGGGGCCACTGTAAGTCCCAGAGTCTGAAGGCCTGAGAACCAGGAGCTCTGATGTCCTGGGGCAGGAGAAAGTGAAGTCCCAGCTCAAGAAGACAGCAAATTAGCCCTTCCTCTGTCTTTTTGTTCTAGTTAGTCCCTCAGCTGATTGGATTTCAGCCCACATTGATGAGGGTGTATCTCCTTTACTGAGTCTACTGATTCAAAGGCCAATCCCTTCCAGAAACACCCTGACACACACACCCAGAGTAATGCTTTACCAGCTATCTGGATATCCCTTAACTCAGTCAAGTTGACACATAAAATTATCCATCACGGCCGGGTGCAGTGGCTCACGTCTGTAATCCCAGCACTTTGGGAGGCCGAGGCAGGCAGATCATGAGGTCAGGAGATCGAGACCATCCTGGCTAACACGGTGAAAACCTCGTCTCTACTAAAAATACAACAACAACAAAAAAATTAGCCGAGCATGGTGGGGGGTTGCCGAGATCGCGCCACTGCACTCCAGCCTGGGCGACAGAGCGAGACGCCGTTTCAAAAAAAAAAAAAAAAAATTATCCATCACACCCAGTGATCTCAGGAAGTTGATTAAAGAGCCAACCATAGACTCTAGATCTGTTTTCACATCCCTTCCACCTATCGTTTATAGGCCCTTCACAATCTTTCTAATGGACATGAAAAATTGGAGAGAAACTTAATTTTTATTTTTTCCTGTATGTTTTGTAGAAAGTTGAAATGGTGAAAAATATTTCAGATGGTAATAATAATGGTCATGTAACTTGGTGCTCTGAAACCCTGCTTCAGACCCACTTTGACACAACACAGTGGGGGTGTCTTGCCCTTTGTAGGTGACTCGTAAACATTTATCAAAAGTACATGTCAGAAAATGGGCTAGAAATTTCTAATAAAGTGTGAATTTTTTTTTTGCAAAAGCCCTCCTGATCTACACTATCAAGATGCTTATCATAATAACACTATTGAGTTCTCATTGTTTATGAGGCACCACACTAAATGGCTTATAACAGTGTTTTTCCAAGTGTGGTCCCCAGATCGGCAACATGAGCATCACCTGGGAACTCATTAGGAATGCAAATTATCTGACTCTACCTCAGACCTATTGAATAAAAAACCTGGAGGATGAACCCAGCAATTGGTGTCTTCGCCTTCCAGGTGATACTGATGCATGCTGAACTTTGAGAACCATCGCTTTATTTGCATTCTCTAATTTAATCTGCAAGCCAATAAAGTAGATACTGTTATCAACCTCAGATTGCGAAAGTTGAAACTGAGGAGGCATGGGAGACTGAGTTACTTGCTTAAAGTAGTTCAGCTTCTAAAAGGAAGATTATGGTTTCAAATCCAGGTCACCTAATCCAGAGCCCCACTAGGCCACAGTGACCTGTAAAGGTCTTTTAGTATGTATGGGGGCAACAGCGTCCCATATGGTATGTGTTCATTTAAACTGAAATAATTAAATTTTAAAAATTGCTTCCTTAGCAGCACTTTCAAGTGCCCCATGGCTTCATGTGGTTTATGCTTACCATAGTGAATAAATACAGATGGAGAACACTTCTGTCATAGAACCATCTATGGATACTGCTTCTTCAGTATTCCGTTTACTAGTTCTGCTTATAATAGGTCAAATATTTAAAGTTCAGGACTCTTCCTAGAAAGTTATTCAACTGGGCAATTCACGAAGATAGTAAAAGGATTACTTGAGAATGACCATATAATTTGCCAAAGAATATTAAATAATAAGAGCTATTACAATATGTATTATATATTGCCATATGCTGAGCACTTTATAAGTGTATTTATGTTCAATATCTTATTTCATGTTTATGTCAGCTCTATAAGATAGGAACTATTAATACCAGTTTTTAAAGTAACATTCAGCAACTTGCCAAAAGTAACATATTTATTATGAGTCTCTAGCTTCTCCTAATTAAGAATGAAGAAATATCCCTTAACTATTGTGCCCAAGGGAGTAGTCTGCCGCTTTTCATTGAGTCTAGAATCTTCTCCAAGTACTTGTGATACTCTCTTGTGTGTCCCATGATATTCTTAGCCCTCACTTCTCCCTTCTTGCCTCCTTTCCCCCTCCCCTCTTCTTACTTTAATGGTGTTATAATTATTCCCCGAAAAGTTCTTCATTTGTACACAGAGCAGTCTTTAGTTTGCTTTCGAATGCAGCCTTTGATTTCTTTCAGTTCACCCTGTCAAGTGCTGTGTGCCCCTGTTACAAGTTAAAGGAAATAATTGTGCATGTGAAATTCTTGGTCTCTTTCTCTTTAACACAAGGACTCTGTCTGTGTTCTCATTGACTGTGTGTCCTCCCTATGTGATCAACATTCTCTTTTCAGTCTGTCAACTGGGTGCATCTTTTGAAATGTTTTGGCTGGGAAGAGTCAATCCCTCCCTGAGACTGAGCTGAAAACAAATTGCCTATCACTAGCACTTAACACTTTCAAACCACCCCCTTTAAGAAGAACAACCTGGAGGCTTTACTGTTAGTCATTTTAAGTCCTCATATGTTAACTCTCAAGAATTCTGTTATATTGGCCAGGCAGGGATTCTCTTCTTTCTCTAGGAAGGAAACTGGGTTTCAGAGCTATAGTGACTTTATCCTTAGATAGGTAATTCAACATTATGACAAATTTTTGGGTAGGCACTGAGGAAATGCAATATGATTACAGTTTAGAGGAAGACACACAGAGATACCAGCTAGCAACTGCTGGGTGTGCCTGGGAATGAGTAATTCACAAGAATGTTCAAGGAAAGAATATGATTGATATAGGACAGGAGACAGGGCTTTTCAATAAAAAAGTAGGGCACAGAAACATGAGCGCATTTAGGGAAAAGCAAATTCATACAATATGTGGACAAAATTAGATGGAAATATTAAGTTGAATCAGATGAAATTATAATATTTGATTATTTTTTACCCAAAACACTGGCAGTTCCATGTGGATTCACCTAATATACTCAGTGAACAAGCATTTGTGGAGTGCCTGTTTTGCAGGTACAGTCCAAGCACCAAGAATTAGAAATGACACACAGTCTCTACCCTCAGGCTCCTTGTCTATGTGGAGATGGACATGGAAAGCCAGTGAGAGGTCGAATAGGAATTATAATCAAAGTCTTCTGAGTCTTGTCCCTCTCCTGTGCATTAGCTGTGGCATTTGCTCTTAATTATTTGGAATGTGGCCTCTAGATGTCACAATCACTTAGTAGTCCTTGAATAAATAAAATATTTAATATTTGATATAACCATGTTGGCTCTGTGGAATGCAAACTCATTTTATAATATGCCCTCCTCGCTTCTACCCACCTATGCACATAGTAGAGCAGGCCTATAGTCATCCTTTTCTTCTAAGTGTTTCTAAAAATCAAATGATGTGACTTTATATGACTCTAAGATAAAATGGTCTGATTTTACAGATTTCCCTTTTTGTGAGTAATATAAAAATACAGGCTCTTCCTGGGAAGAAAGCCATGTCTCATTTCCTATCTGTAAATGCAGTGCTGAAGAAGTGCTACGTGCTTGGCCTTTACCACCAGATCTCCCCACACCAGCCTGTTCTGTAGGGAAACCCATTGAGAACAATTGTCAGTTCCAGTAAATAGGTTGTTTAGCGAGTTCCGTGAATTTGCAGTAACCTCCCCCAAAAAGAGGCTTCTGTAACGATATTTTTGGTTTTAATGAGCGACTGCGTGGCTTATTCAGACATGACTGTGGGAACCAGCCCTGGAGAGAGAAGCGTTCCCGCCGTGAACCAGATGGCTAGTGAGCAGGAAAGGTATTGTTCCTCAGCAATATTCCAGAAGAAAGTTCCTGCATTGAAGGAGGAGGTGAGTACTCATGAGGATGAAGGCCTCAAAATTATTTTATTATAGTTTCCTCTCCTGGGCCCCTTATAGAAAAATTAACAAATAGAATTTCTGAGGTTGCTGATTCCTCAGTGAATTATTATTCTTTCATTTTTTCTGTGCCTTCCTTTTCTACTTGCTGTTTTCTAGTCATCTTTAAAGCTCCTCAAACTCAGCACAAAGACAAAGTATTCCCTGGTGATTAGTGTGCATTCACATTTATGCATAATGGTCATTTGCTTTTGCCTCTGGGGCATCCTGAATTCATCTCCTCCCCCTTCCCTGTATCTAGGTTGATGCCCAATTCAGCTACTGCTGCCGTTTCTCTTATCTATTGCTTTTTCTGCTTTTTGCTAAAGAAACAAAACAAACCCCTTCTGGAGCCCTTTTCAACTTTGGCACTCTTCTAGCTTGGTGCTTCAGAACTCCCGTCCATGCTGTTGTTGCTGTTTGTCACATGTAAAATGTTCCTGTCAAGCTTTTCCCTGCCTCCCATGTAGGTTACATTACTCTCTTCCACGGTCTCCCTTGATGTCTAACACCACACACTTATATTGTAACTGAGTGTCTCTTGTGCTCTTCCTCTCCTCCTGCTATTCTGCAAAACCTACCACTGTGTGTCTCACTCTTACCCACTGTCAGTCC